ATATCCTCACCACCAGCAAACAGCCAACAGAAGTGCTGCCAAGGTTTCTGCACTTTTTTCTGCCTTTCCTGTGTTGAACATCATTCCAATTCAGATCCATCAAACTATCCACCATATAAACTGAAACAACGTGGGCAGAGGAATACACAAAACCAGAATTTCTTGGGAAAAAACCCAGTTGCTTTAACTGTAAATAGATGTTTTTCTTCTTTGTAGGCTATTTCCGTTATGGATACCACAGTTTCTAATTTCCAAGCTACAGATCAGGTTAGAGTGGAATAGATGGATTCATGCCTGAAAATGGTTGGAAAACAAGGTAGCAGCTGCACAGAGAGGAGCATGTCATGTGGTATTTTCAATATAACTTGTGTTAGTCAAACCAGAAATACTGTGAGGCCCACCAGAGTGCCAGACACCTTAGCTACACAAACAGGAGGAAACAACTGAGAACAGGGACACAACTGAGAACTGAGAACAACTGAGAATCACACTTCTGACATTTTTAAATGATGCTACTCTCTCTCCTAACAAAACAAAACACAAAATGCAAAGCCCATCAGAGTTAAACACATTTTCTTCCATCACAAAGTTCTGGTGAAGTTTGGAGAAGTTTCTTATTTAAGATGAGCAGTCATTAAAACTATTAAAATAAAAGCAAACTGGAGGAGATCAAGTATGCCCCAGACCCAAGAGGATCATGATGTTGTCACTTAGTACATTTGCTTTTCAACCTTGGAAACATGAGGACAAATAACACTCACCACTTGACTGCATTGTCACACTGCCACTCATTTCTGTCATTATTTGCTATCTGTGGTCACAAGAGGACACGTGACCTGATGGACCAGGCCTAGAAACAATGCAGAAGTTGATTTGAGAGTCAGACTCAGAGCCATCCTCATTTGGGGATTGAGAAACAAGGGAGCACAGCAGTCACAAAATGCCTCTATTCCCTGCTTTGATCTCTGCTGCTGCTTTTCACCAGTTTGCAGGGTGTACACTGCTGTTTTGCTCATTTGCAGGTAATAGATTTCAATAGTCAGTCTTTAAAAATGCTGCACCACTAGGTAAGAGTAGAGAGGAAGCAAACATATGGAGGAAGCTCAGACTGATTTTTGGCAAATCCTACGCTCGATCCATGTTGCAGTGTTGCCAGAACTAAGTGTTCCAAAATCATACGTGATGAAGGTGGCTTAAAAATAATCAATTTGACTTTTCTTTTATTTGCTTTTGGTTTCTTAGCCTTCAGGGTATGCTCAGATAATGTTTTCTCAGAAACCACGTGTGCTAGAAAGCTGCTTCCCAAATAAAAATTACTGTTTCTCAAGTCAAGCCCCAGCCTTATGCTAAGGCCTCACATACCAAGTACCATGAGATGTGCAAAAGCTTACTAGGGTTTCAATCCTTCATCTTGCTTCCCTCATATTTTTTTGTTGTTTTTCTCTTGTTCTTGTGGTCCAGAGTAGGATGACAGAGAAAGAAGGAAGCGGACAAGTTAATCGGAAAAAAACCCGTAAGAATGGAGTGTTAGGGAAGAAGGGGCAGCAACTTAATAAATTAAATAAAAAACAGAGGAAGGAAAGCATGGGTGGAAAGAGAGATGAAGCAGTAGGATGGCAATATTCATGATGGGGAAGATTTAGGAGGAGAAAGAAAAGCAAACAAACAGGAAATATCATTCTGCATAGATCTGTCCTTTTTGTGTTGCAGCTGCTCTGGGGCTCTGGAAGCTCTCATCAGGGCTATAAATAGTTACGTATCTAGAAATAATTATTTGAATCTGTGCCAATATTTAACTAAGGATTAGCCCTGCCAAAGCAAATGGGCAGCAGCATGTGGATCTTTGGAGATCAGGTGTTTCCAGGCTTTTAAATGCTGCGCTCTCACGCTGTTCTGCCTGTATGTGTCTTCTGGACGGAAAAGTTAACTTGAAATTCAGAGGTCTTTAAGAGGGTTGAGTTGGAGGCACACCCTTAAAATTCTTAGGTCTGAAATTAAATCTGCAAAATTTGTTTTCTGTCGCAGGTATGTAACTCTGCTGAGGGCTGTCACAGTCTGCTTTTCCTAAGCCTGAGTATTTGTGATGCCTGACTTTCAGAAGGCTTGAAGGAATAACTCAGCAAAACACGATGAAGTCTGGTTATTTCTTCAAAGTGGAAGGTTGTTCTCATTTTTAGAACTTCCTCCCCTTTTACCACTCTGTGTATTTTTTTCTAGTGTGTCTCCTGGAGCATTTCTATCCCTTTCAATTGTTGTAGAACTGCCTTTTAATTTCTCTCTCTTCTGTTAGACTGTTTAATGTTTCTTTTACTGCCCCAAAAGCCTGAGATGTCCAACTTGATGACATTGAACTGCTTCCCACCTCCCTTTAAATCTGTCATTGAACTGACAAGACTTCTGGCTATAACATGCTCTCTTTGTATCCATCTACTCTTTATTACAGCTTGTGAAATAGATGTGTCATGCTTAGTCCCTGTTTAGCCATTCCATGTTATCCTGTGTCTCTGTGGATTGAAGAACAATTTTAAATTATGTAGTTCAGGAGGGTGGATTTGCTTTCATTGGAGTTGGTTAGCTGTATTTCATCTAGGGTTAAATGTTCCCCCCATATTTCAAATTCAAAGGCCAAATTAAAATATGGTTCCTTGTATAATCTACCTGGATGGAAGTGTTTTCGCTGAGGGCTGAATACAAAACCAGAGAAGTTGAAGGATGATGGTGTGACTTGGATGGGAAGCCAAGGTTGCCCTTGTGGTATGACTGATGAATAAAGAAGGCTGAAACACTGAAAAATAATCTTCTCTCTGTTGCATTCAGAGGCACAGACTTTTTTCACTTGTGCAAAGCTCTCAAGTGTTCCTCTCTCCTCCCCTAAGATGGCTTTTCTTAGTAGTATGTATTGGTTGTGCTCCACAAGGGCAACAAATAGACTGAAAGAGACCAAGAAAGATCAGTCAGACAGAAAGAAAAGAGGGATTGATAAATATGCTGTGACCTTAGACCAAGCCAGAATGAACAGGTATTATTTTAGGCACTATATATTGGTCAATAATTCATTGCTGGTTTAAAATTGGCTTTTAGGAAAGTAACTCAGTCAGCAATGCCTCTGCTACTGAAGCTACATAAGATTTATTGTGCATATAAATACTAGTTTTTTAATTATTTTTTTTAATCAGATACCTTATTAATTAACCTCCCTATTCTGTAACTTTTCTTTAATATTGAGCTTTAAATCTGGCTTCATTTCATGCTTTAGAGTGTCTTTTTCATCCATTTACCGAAACATACCACATGTTCATGAGGCACACAGAAAAAATACCAAAGTTCTCCAAGTAGGAAGAATTAGCCACAAATCTAATTTGAAGCTAGCAGCATATGATGAGGTCTGCAACATTAGATCCACGTCTGAAAATCACCTCACGCTAGGTCCTGAGCTGCAAAAATAAAGAAGCAAGGAAATTTTTTCTCCTTTTTTCTCTCCCTCCCTCCTCCTCATACACCCGCAGGAGCACACCCACCCACACACGTGCGTGTGCATGTGCACGTGCACGTACACACAAAAAGCTTCTGTTTTGATCCAGCTCTCACAGTTTCTTCGTACAATTACAAATTGCAGATGTGCCAAACGAAAGGGCAGGGTGCAAATTAATTTGCAAATGAAATATATGATTTATATATTAAAAGAAAAGAAAATGAGTCGTTTCCTCAATAGCGATATTCAAGCCCTGGACTGGCCTGGGAATCCAGAGTTATTATGAATTTCCTTCTACTTATAGAGCTAAAATGATCAATTCTTTGAGGACACACAGTGTTGATTTTTCTTTTACCAAATGAGAGAGGATACTTATTTTCTTTTTAAAATAAATATTTTCATCTAAAAAATATCCTGGCCACTTCCACTGCTCAGAGTGCATGCTTTAATAAACTTAATGTAAGAGAATATATATTTATTTTCAGCATTTTTTTAGCTAGTAATAATCCACTACTATTTTTGTAGTGGGTAATAAAAAACAGTGGTTGCAATGTTAGTAGCCTTGCGTTTGCAGACACACCAGTTACAATTTCTCCCATTATTTAACACATTTTTAAGAACTCACCAGTTGAAGTCACAAGAATGTTAGGGCCAGTTACTGATTTTGATGCACGTATTATGTTGCTGCCCAGCCCCAGTTGTCCTTGTGGCTCACCCGGGGTACTTTATCAGCTGTTTGAGTGTTAGTCAACTCGTGATGATTGGACTTTCTGCAAGGATGAAGGTGTAGTAACCGTTAGATGTTGTGGATGGTGTTGGATGGGTAGGATGAATATGGTTTGAGTGCTGTGTATCCACTGTCCCTGATGCAAACTGAAGTGCTGCATTGAAAGGGAGAAGATGCAAGATGCTGTTCCCAAAGTGTATCCTAGGCATTGTAAAACTGATGGCAGGTAGGTCTGCTGTGGAAAGTTGCTTAGGTATTTGATCTTCCTTGAAACAACATTCTTAGTATCATACAGCCCAACCCAACTGCCCCCTGCTCGTACCTCTGAACCCCTGGTAGCCATCACCTGGCACAGGACCCTGACACTAGTTTTGAATCAACTGTGTTTTTCTTGGTCCTGTGTCTGTCCAGAAAACCTCTTTTTGCTTCTTCAGCCTTCTCCACCTCAGAAAAGTTAAGTGTCAGAATGAGACTCAGAAGCTGAAGAATGGGAGAAAAGATGCAGAAAAGATGCAGGAGAAGAGATTGAGAGGAACCTGATAAACCTATTTGCTGAAAAGATGGAAAGCCACACTGTGGGCAGGGATGTGTGTGGGGGACTGAGGAAACAGAAATTAGGCTTCACCAGCCTAAGAGCTAAAGAGCTTGATCTTTTTCTTTCTATCCTCCTTCTTTCCATGCTTCAGTGCCCCAGACTTCCACAGTAGCTTGGTACTATATGCTTTTGCATTAGCTTTTCTGATTTAGAATCATAGAATCATTAAGGTTGGAAGGGACCTCAAAGACCATCAAGCCACTTACTTATCCACCGAGTGGTCCATCTATCAAATCCATGCCCTGTCAGTTTGGAGACCAGGATGTCACGTGGGACAGTGTCAAACACCTGGCACAAATCAGATGACATCAGTCGCTCTGCAACAGCCACCATCTCTGTAGCCTTGTTGTAGAAGGCCACCAGATTGGTCAGGCATGACTTGCCCTTAGTGAAGCCATGTTGGCTGTCACAAATCACCTCTTTATTTTCCATGTGCCTTAGCAGAGTTTCCAGGAGGATCTGCTCCATAACCTTGCCAGGCACAGAAGTGACAGTGACCATCTTGTAGTTCCCTGGGTCTTCCTTTTCCCCCTTTTTAAAAATAGATGCAATGTTCCCTTTTTTCCAATCAGCAGCAACCTCACCAGGCTGCCATGACCTCTCAAATACGATGGACAGAGGCTTAGCAGTTTCACCCATCAGCTCTCTCAGGACTCATGGGTGAATCCCATCAGGTCCAATAGATTCATGCACCTTCAGGTACTTTAGATGATCACGAAACTGCTCTACACCTATGGTTGGGGTTTATTCATTCTGACAGTCCCTGCTTTCACCTTCTGTGGCCTTTGTGTTGAGGTTGGAGCGCTTGCCAGAAAAGACTGAAGCAAAGAAGTCATTGAGGACCTCAGACTTCTCAATATCCTGTGTTTCTGCCTCACCTGTTTCCTTCAGGAGAGGGTCTACACTCTCCTTGGATGTCCTTTTCTCCCTAAGAAGCTTTTCTTATTGTTCTTAACATCCCTGGCAAGATTTGATTCTAGCAGGGATTTGGCTTTCCTAACCTGATCCGTAGCTGCTCGGACAACCTCTCTGTACTCCTCCCAGGATACCTGCCCTAGCTTCCACCCCCTGTGTGCTTCCTTCTGAAGTCTGAGCTTTTCTAGGAGCTGCTTACTCATCCATGCCGGCCTCTTGGAGTTACTGCTTGACTTCCTCTTAGTTGGGATGTGTCACTCTTGGGCCTGGAGAAGGTGATTGTTAAATATCAGCCAGCTTTCATGGGCCCCTCTACCCTCCAGGATGTTATCCCAAGACACTCTCTTGAGCAGATCCCTGAAGAGGCTGAAATCTTCCCTTCTGAAGACAAGGGTAGTAAGTTTGCTGTGAGCCCTCCTTGCTGCCCTAAGGATCTTGAGCTCCACCATTTCCTGGTCACTACAACCTAGGCTGCTCTTGAGCTTAACATCCCTCACCAGCCCCTCCTCATCGGTGAGGACAAAATCCAGCACCTCTCCTTGTTGGTTCCTTGATTACTTGGAAAAGGAAGTTATCATCCTTGCACTCTAGGAACCTCCTGGGTTGTGTTTAGCAGAGTTGTTCTTCCAACAGTTGTCAGAGTGGTTGAAGTCTCCCATGAGTACCCTGGCTTGTGAATGTGAAGCTGCTCGTATCTGTCTGTATAGTGCCTCATCTATATTATCCTCCTGCTCAGGTGACCTGTAGCAAACCCTCACTGTGATGTCACCTTGGCCTTTCTTCCCCTTAATTTTAACCCATAAGCTCTCTGTTGGCTCCTCATCCATCCCCAGGGAGAACCCCATACACTCCAGCTGGTCTTTGACATGGGGGGCAACACCCCCACCCTGTCTCCCCTGTCTGTCCTTCCTAAAGAGTTTATAACCCTCCATTCTGATGCTCCAGCCATAGGAACCATCCCACCAGGTCTCAGTGATGGGATCCTAAGGAGTTTATAACCCTCCATTCTGATGCTCCAGCCATAGGAACCATCCCACCAGGTCTCAGTGATGCCCATGAGATCATAGCCCTGCAGGCTCACCCTCATCTCTAATTCCTCCTCGTTATTCCCCATATTTTGTGCGTTTGTGTAAAGGCATTTAAGCTGGGCATGCTAATTCCTCAATGATCTTTGAATAAAACCCTACACTCAGCAGCTTTACACTTGCAGATGCTCCTCAAGTACCCTCATGTCTTGGAGATATCATGGAGGGTTGTGAGAGAGGTTAGACTGTGAAAGCTAAGTGTGCTAGCTGAAGGAAGGAAAGATTGGGAGTGTGGAAGGGTTTTGCCTTCCCAAGTATGAATGAGCACGTAGGACAAGAAAGACTCAAAGCTTCTTCTGCATGTTCTCTATTGTCTCATGAAAATGTTATAGTGACCTTAGGAATGGCATGCTTGGCTTGTGCAAGGAAGGAAGGCATTTCAAGATTGATATCAGCCATGCCTTCATCTCCCTGTGCTCCATTCTGGTGAGTTAGGAAACATGACAACATTATCCTAACTGCTGCAGTGTGTTTAAGCAATGTCATTTTCCCCAAGTGGAATTAGGAAAACACAGCACTTTAGATTTTGCATAAAACTCAGCTGAAAAATACTGCTGTTTGAGTGCAAAGCACCTTCAGAAGGTCTTGCATATGTTTTGCAAACTGCAGTGTCTAGGCTGAAACTCATTTCCATCTCATGCCTATACCATGTCTGGTTACTGATACAGCCTGCCATAGCACCCTTGTGCTTCAGTTGAGCCTAGTGCTCTCTTTGGCTCAGCTATTCATTCCACCTTGACCTTGAACTCCAGGCACCAAGGTGAAGAATTTTCACAGTTGTGCTTCACTCACAGCAGCACTTTCTCACATCCCCAGCAGCTGAGAACCTGTGGGGTGGACCAGAGCCACAGGTTGAACTGCATAAGCATGCAATAAATAAATTTCAGTTGAACTAGTTGGTATTGTAGAGTGCTGGGATTTAGGTGGGCTGTATTTCAGAGGTCTGTTGTTTAAATAACTACTGGTAACCCGCTCCCAGGAGGCACAAAAAATGTCAGGTCAGTTTAGTCAACATGTAGATTTTTGACCATTTAGCATTTGATCCAGTAGCCTTTAAACACCATCTGGGCTTTATGTCAAAGCTAGGGGTCTCTAACACAACACCCAGTTCTCTGTTACATGCAGCACTAGAGGGCAGAGCTAACAGCTAATGAGAAATTAGGGGTGCCTGAAGGTCCAGGGAACATACATTATGAGGCAGCTAAACAAACTTTTATGAAATAGCTGGAGAAGGAGGCTGAGACACAAAAGCCAAAATATTAGGTGACCAGTAAAATAAATGGCAAATAATTGCTGTGCTGGAAGCCTGACAGACACTACAATCCCAGCCTGCAGTATTCCCCACAGCCCCAGTTGGGAGCATTTGCAGTTCTTGCAGATGCTGCTTCCAGCATTATGCACACCTCCTTCTCCCAGATTTGCAAGGGTGTGCTTGCAAATGGGAGGACTAGATGTGCCTCTTTGAAAACCGAAGCTGAGATGCTGGAGCACGAGTCTGCTGCAGGAAGACAAGTCCATGCCAAGTGCCATACAGGCAGCAGTTTATAAATTTGCTGGGGCCAAACTCTTCCTGCCACATGCTCTCTGGCCCTGCATTATTTCTGGATCTCCATGCAATACAGCTCACAGATGGCTGGAGAGATTCTATGTGGGAGTACATGGAGGTATTGGGATCTGTGCTAAATGAAGTTCAGCTGTTAGTACATGGAGGTATTGGGATCTGTGCTAAATGTTGAAGTTCAGCTGTTGCTTGTTGGTTCATTTTGACCCTGTGTGTCCAGGTGAAGTATATCTCAGAGCACGACCTGCAGCTCAGCACCCTGCTGATGCTGGTACAGGTGCTGGTGTGGGTGTTCTGCTGCAGAGGATCCTCCCAGCATCAGTGATACCCGTAAAAAAGGACTGTCTTTTCTCTAGTTGTTGCCCAGGAACCATGAGAAGATGAGTTGCATTCCATACTTGCTGATGATGAATGAACATCCCTAGCATGAGGCAGTCAGCAGCTATTGACTAGGTAGATGTAGCCTTGAATTTAATTTAATTTAATTGCTCTCTATCATCTAACAGAAGACCATGGCTTGTAAAGGCTTGAGGGTGTCAGAAAAGGAGGATGAAGCTGTGAAATGGAAGAGGTTTGTCTGCAGGCTGAAGAGGGAAATCCAGGCATGATATTAGATTCTGTTGCTACCCTGACTTTTGCAGATGCCCAGAAAGACCAAAGAGAAACGGTTTGGCTGAACTTGAGTACTTTTTTACACTCCTACATAATTTTCACCCATTAAAATGCTACAAGGTTTAGAAAAAGAAGAAAGTAAAAATTATTGCCTTCCCCTCAGCCAAATAACTCCAACCAAAACCAGGCAGATGTTTGGTTTATTGCTGTTTGTCAGGAAAAAAACTGAGTGAATTTTGTGTATCAGTAGGGCTGCTGTTTTATGGCCAGATATCTTCATTCTTTTCTTAAGACTGCTCCATCTTCAAGAAATGAAGTGTGAGTTTTACGTGCCAATGATTTATACGAGGGTCATGACCTGTCACATGATAATGCCTGACCCCAGAAAACATGATGTAAGTGTAAGAATCACCCTCTTTCTTAGGGTCAGCAGCACCATGACACAGGTCCCTGTGTTTGACACACCACCCACAAAGTGGGGCATATGCCTTTTACCTTTTTTAATTTTTTTTTTTTTTTTTTTTTTGTCAGCTCCCTGAATTACTTTCAGGTAGTTCTGCATGCTTCTACTTTTTCATTTAATTAGGTGCAAACACTCTGTATAAATAAAATAAAAAGTTCCCTGCAGCTAGCAGACTCTTACAGACTGCCAGACACTGAAAAATGTTTGTCTCTGTTACTGTTGCTTAATAATTCACATTTTATAAACAAAGAAATCTTTCTCTCCCTCTTTTTTCTTTCCCTTTTCCAGTTGGCTTTTGGGGGTTAGAAGCTTGGATACAGCTGCAGAATAAGTTTGGATCCCCATATACAGTAGGTGTACTATCTTTGAATACAATAAGTGTACAGTACTACCAAGGTTTCCTGCCTGCCTTTCAGTCCCACAGACTCCATATCTGTTAGGAGATGTCAGTCATTGCAGTGCTTGTATGTAAATGCTACATTGTCTATGAGGTACTTCAGAGCCCTTTACATGGTGCCTGGCAAGCTGAGCCATAATTTTTTATGTCCTGTTCCTAGCAGCAGCTCAAGTCATAGACTGCCTGAAAGCAGATATACCCACAATAATGGTATGATACTACAAAGAGACCTGTATTGGTATAAAGAAACTGATGTTAATTTACTGAGAATATATCAGAATGGTGTGTAAAGTTGGTTAT